GTGTATATTTCTGGCCCAGGGTTTGACTCGATGCCAGCCCTGAGTAGGAGAATGCGTAGTGAATGTTGCCCTATGGACGGACAACTTCTGAGATACTTCGCCGACCTAAACGGGGTTAGATCGCCCTTGGTCGGGTGAAACCCGAGTCATTCCGGTACGTAGAACACGTTCAGCTACAGCCAACATATTAACAATGGCATTGTTGCTATATTTTTTCGTTTGTACACGCTTTTGTTCTTCACTTCTCAAATACTTTTTCGAAATTAATAAAAACCAAGACAAAAATTAAAAATTATATGTTGCCTCTGACGGTATTCGAACCCCAACATGCTGGGAGCTAAGAACTAACAGCGAGCATCTCTACACGTTCAGCTACAGCCAGACATGCCAAAGTGCTTTCAAATGCTCAACTTCAATCACGTTTCGTTAAAACACGAGCAGTGATCGGATAACAAACAATGAGCTAGCGCAGAGACACCAGTTGGTCCGCTACAGCATGACAGGGGAACACTTTTGTAAGTACTCCAATTTACCACAAATAGACTACATGATCCAACGATTTTTGCAGGGGAGACACGAGTTGGTCCGCTACAGCATGACAGAGGAACACCTTTGTAAGTACTCCAATTTACCACAAATAGACTACATGGTCCAACGATTTTTGCAGGGTATATGCAATTATTATTAATTATATAGATTTTAATAGTTATTAGTGATCTTTCAGCCAAATCAGTCTTGTACTAATGACAAGTAAACAAACCAAATGACGTTTTTGTTATCTCTATAACTTCTGACTAGGAACAGTTGCTCAGTTACTCTCTCAAGTGTTCCCACTTACAGGTTTTATTTCAATAGGAACGGCTTCCTGTAAGTTCTGACTAAATCTTGTAAACCGGACTGCTATTGGAACAGACTAAGAAATTTTGATGCAAAAGATTTTCCGTGGTATTCATCATACAAATTAATCACCTTACTTGTCCGTATGTCGCTCTGGAAAGAAATATATTTTAATTTATATGTTTTCTTAAAAATAAATGCAAATTTACCTATTTTTTCTACCGGCAGGCACGAATATGGTATTCAAAACAGAAACAATGACGACGAATTTACCCCATATATTGTTGTATTTTAGCGCAAAACGATAAGTTTCACAAATATTTTAAATTATTGCCTGGAACATACACATTTAACGTTATTATTGGAAATGCAAGACTTGGCATGCATTTTTAATTTCTTATTTAATCAATTCAAATGAATAAAAACACATTTTTCTAAAATATTTCTCAATTTACATTTTAAAGTGTTTTCTGAAACTTGAATGCTCTTGTGCGGAGAATATNGATGACGTCTATTGCTAAGATATCTCACTTGTATTTGTACACAATGCTGTTTTATGACTTCACCTGTTTATTGCGCCATGTGTAGGTACTATACAGAAATTTATTTTCTCCTTTTTCCATTACAATAGATCATAGTCTAATAATGCAATAGATAAACAATTCTTTGCTGTTTTCGGTTTTAAGGGGTTTTTCTTGCCGTTTCGCCGTTTTGGTAATTTTTAGAGCCCTTTCCTGCCTATTTGGCTTTTTTTTATAGGTTTTAAGTCATAAAAATCCGTTCCCTAGTAATTAACTTATTCAGCCGTTAGTTATGCTCAGACAGCCATTAGATCTCAAATTTAAACGTAAGCTAGCATCCTCTTCTTTAAGTGCCAGCATATTTCGCGTACGAGTCTCTTCATCATCGTTCCTATGTGAAGCAAAGTGCGAGCGAAGCTCACTAGCCAGTCGGAAAGCGCTGGGACACAGCTCACATTTATAAACATTATCACCAAGGTGATTTCGCAAATGTTTGACTAGATCATTACTTTGGGCAAAAGCGCGTTCACAGTACTTGCATTTGTAGGGCTTTTCACCGGTATGAGTACGCATATGGCGACGCTGTTTGTCCATCAACACAAATCTGGTCGCCAGAATGGAAATTAAATTAGGAAAAAATTCAAAATTACTTGTCTACAATTTCTCACTCTTGACTTACCGCATGTCACAGTATTCGCATTTGTAAGGTTTTTCGCCACTATGGTACATTTGGTGTGTCTTAAACTGATAACTTTTAGCAAAAGAAGCACCACAAATGCCGCAATTATGCGGTTTGACCAGGCGATGTATGACTCTGTGCTTAGACAAATCGCAGCTGCAAGCAAACTTTTTGGGGCAGTCGGGACACTCGAACCGCTTAACGCCTGAATGCCGTACTAAATGCTGCTTCATACTGCTGCGAAGGGCATGAATAAATTAATAAACTTTTCATTGGTCTGCTGCGATAATCTTTATACCCCGACGATTTAAATGATTTGCCACACAACGAACACAAGAACGGTTTCTCGCCTGTATGCGTACGGAGATGGTCAACTAAGCCGGCACGAAATTGAAAGCCTGTAAGAAATATACATGTATCTATGTATTTTGGAAATCGATCTTAAGCTAAAAATATACATATATTTAGCAATTAAACTTTCCTTTATTGCAAAATTCACATACGAGGCGCGTCGGTGCTGCAATAGAGGATCCTTCAAAATGCCTTCGTTGTTTATGGTAGGCCAGCGTACGCTTAGAACTATATGTATTTTCACATAAATCACAGGCGTAAATCTTTTTTTCTTCCCCTTCCAGTTGGTCAGTATGGTTCTGCTTATGTTTGTGCAGTGATTCTGGTTTGTTGAATCCGCGCCCACAAATATCACACTTAATTTGAATACGTTCATCTGTATTTAAAGGCTTTACAGGCATATTTTTTGCCTCCTCCCATTTTTCATGCCGTTTCAAGTGTCTATTTAGAAACCGGCGCTGAGAAAACTTTTTATTGCACTTGTTGCAGGAATGTGTTGGCGTGCTGAAACTAGTAATATATACTTATATATCATTATCAAAGTTGTCTTTAATTATTCTTACGCCTCGCTTATTTGTTCCTTTTGAACTTTTACATTAGACGTTTTACAGTTGCTGTCTTTTCCAGCACAAAAGTTGGGCATGTCGCTGGTACAATAACTTGAGACCTCGTCCCACGTCGGTCCCGATTCATGAGTAGTTGCTCCTATTTTGCTTATTACACTGGTATCAACCAAGTTCTTCCCAGCTAAAAAAAAATATTTTGGTTTTCGTAACAAATATCCATCTTCAAGAAATTTTCCACCTATTGAAGAAACATTTAAAACTCATAGTTTTAATTGTTTCGCTTCAATAGGTAATTATTTGAAATACATACATATGTATATTAAATTAAATGTATAATATAATAATTTTTGTACATATATGAAATGGCGTTTTAGCTCTCTAGCTGGCCAAATATTTCTTTGTTGTTCTAATAAAACTTTGGAGTAACTTAAAGTTAAAAAAAAGAAAAACAGTCGGCGCTTACAAATATCACACTTAATTTGAAAACCCTGATCTGCTTTTAAAGGCTTTTCTTGCAAATTCTTTCTTTCCTCCCATTTTTCATGCCGTTTTAAGTGTATATTTAGAAACCGGCGCTGGGAAAAAGATTTATTGCACATGTTGCAGAAATGCGTTGGCGTGCTGAAAAAAGTAATACATACATATATGTAAATCATTGTCAAATTTGTTTGTAATTAATTATTCTTACGCCTCGTTTATTCGTTCCTTTTGATCTTTTATATCAGACATTTTACAGTTGCTTGATTTTCTATCAGGAAAGTTGGGCATGTGGTTGGTCCAATCGCTACCTATATCTAACTTGCTTGAAACCTCATTACTCGTTCTTTCTAATTCATGAGCTCTTGTTGGTTTTCCTACTTCGATTATTAAACTGGGATCAAACAAGTTTGTTTCAGCAACAAATGCCGCATGCGTATTATCTCCCCCATTGCATTCATCTTCATCAATGAACTCCTCCATTTTCAGAAATTGCGTATTTTGCAATGGGTCATTAGCCAATGGCACCTCCAGCGCATTATTTACAGCCTCGGCCTCAATTTCTCCCTCCATGGCTTCGCCCATTGAAAACTCCTCTATATCTGCCGTACTTTTCATCAAAAGCCCTGTTAAAATCAGTTTTACATCTGGATATCTTTTGGCTAATATTTCGCGCATTTGTTGTTCGGATTGTATGCACATTTGCTGGAAGCGATAGACCCTCAGTAAAAGCTGTAAGCATTCTCTGCATATCTTCTGTGGTAATTCGTCACTGAAGATGAATTGTAGTTGCGGCGCAGTGGTTGATAGTAAATCAACGATTCGCATGGTGCAGTATTCTGTAACCGTGTCGTAGATGGAGTGACACTGTATGTCCGTAGTTGTGGCGGCGAATGTTTCCTCTTCAGCTACTACGTGCATGCAAGTCCTGCAGATGCTATCGAAATTTAACTCGCTTGCAGCGTCCATATCTACATACTATAAAAATCTGGGTACATGAAATTTGCCTATTTAGCAAATTTTGTCTGTTGATTAAAACCACAATATATACTAGCAAATTTCGATATCGTATCGATTATTCTGAATATCGATATTTCATGTTGCGGTAGTCGATTTTTTGAATCGATATTCCCAGGTCGATATATCGAAGACATCGATACTTTACCCGCAATATCGATATTTAAGTTGAAATTTATTTTCCATCTACAAAAAAGTGTTTGACATAATACTAAAGTAGGTTTATCCCGCAGCTTGTGTGATTTATGTAGCTCTTAAGTTTGACAAACCGCTTGCACGGTGTCTTAACTCGTTTCCACCGTTGACTTATTGTCTTGTTCTATCTTCTTTGACAATACAGCCGACCGGCATGCCGTTTTAACCCTCAGTAAATATACAAGATGGAAATAACTCAATTAGGTGAGTTGATTGGCAGGTCTAATATTATATCCAATTGGGAGTAGGATTTTCAACATCGATTTTGCCGATATCAATATTGTTCAGCCTGATATATCGCCATATCGATTTTATATGCAATGAATTAAATCGATTCATGATATCGATACTTTCTTAAATATCGAAAATTCCTACATTGGACGGTTGGCAAAGGTAAGGTCGGTGTTATGCAGACAAATTTTGTTTGCCAAATTAAATGGCGGCTGCTTAGTTTGCTCGGAGGTGGTTATGTCGAGTTTGGCACAGGTAGCACGTTGATTATGCTTTTCATGGCTATTGCCAACACGAAATGAGAATTTTGTGTATAGCAACAATTGTCTAAAATTTTTGTATATGACAACGCCGAATTTGCTGCAGTTTGATCAAACAAAATTAGTTTGCTGTGAGAGTCGCCAAACTCGCACTGTTGTTGTTGTTGTAGCGGCTACAACAACCCCGCCCAGGACGGTTGGTATCTCAGTCGTTGTCGTCAAGTTCCACTAACGGCAACCCTAGGAAGCGTGCAGCTTCTGTGGGGTTTGTCCACAGGGACAAGGCCGTTAGGGTTGTCGGGTTTTCCGGGCATGCGAGGAGATGTTTCGAGTCGTGTGGGGTCTCTCCGCATGCCGGACAATCATTCGGCACATCCTCATTCAGCCTACTCAAGTAGGAGTTCAACCTGCTGCAGTACCCGGAGCGAAGATGGGCGAGTGTTGTGCGTGTCTCCCGAGGCAGATGAAGCTCCGTCTCGTCTATGTCCGGGGGTGGTATGCCTAGAACGGCATTCACAGGTCTAGAGTCTACATAACTCGAGACTGAGTCCCTGTGAATGCCGTTCAGGGCCAGTCGGTAAGCTGACGGGTCCAGAGGTTGCTTGATGAACCTCTGGACTTCGTCCGTCAGTTCGTAGAGATTCCTCCTGACGTGCCTAGGCGAGGGTCCTCTGCAAGCAGCTGTCAGTTTGGGTGGCCACTTCTGTGGCTCCCGATCAGGAACTGCTTGCAGAGCATTATATTGTGCTCCTTTACGGGGAGCATTTGCGCCTCGCCGTGAAGATGGTGTTCGGGCGACATCAGGAGGCATCCTGTCGCTGTCCTGAGTGCGGCGTTCTGTGCCATCTGAAGCTTCGTCCACTGCGTCCTACTAGTCCCCGGCGACCACACTGGCGCTGCGAAGTTCAAAACCGGCCGGCCTATTGCCTTGTATGTTGCCAGCAACGTTTCTTTGTCTTTGCCCCAAGTACTGCCGGCTAGCGACTTGAGGACCTTGT